CCTCCCTGTCTCTCTGTAGATGAGGACGTAGACACTGGGGATGTCTCCCCTTGTGGTGGACGTTACCCTATGGGTAATTCTCCCCATCTCTCTCTGTAGATGAGGATGTAGACACTGAGGATGTCTCCCCTCGTGGTGGACGCTGCCCTGTGGTTAATCCTCCCCTTCTCTCTCTCTCTCTCTCTGTAGACGAGGACATAGACAATGTGGATGTCTCCCATGTGCCCGAGGATGTGCTGCGCAACATCGAGGCTGACACCTATTGGTGCATGAGCCGGCTGCTGGATGGCATCCAGGTGAGGCCCGACCCAGGGCTGGAGGGGTCTTCCTGGGCAGAGCACGCTGTGCTGGGCCCCCAGGTCTACGCCGTCTAGCCTCAGGGTTGTGTAGGGAGGAGAAATCATGTGTGTGAGCCCTGTCTAGATGACCGTAGGGTCCGGGTTAGGACCCGGGACTAAGGTTCTGAGCTGAGTCTGCTGCAAGTCTGGTCTGTTGGCCGGGGAACCTCCCCTCACAGGGTGGCTGTTTGGGACCCTGTGGCCACCTGTAGGCAGTGGTCTCAGAGCTTGGTCAGCTGAAGCCAAGCCTGGAGCTAAGGGGTAAACAGGACCTGTGGAGGGTCCCACTGGCTGGACGCAGAGTCAGGATGCCAGGTCTGTGGTGGAGCTTGTCACAGGTCTCCTGGTGATAGTGATGATTATGGGAGGCTAAGTGGGGCGAGTCCTGCAGAGGAGGACTGAGGTGGTGGATGCCCGCAGTGGACCGGGCACGGTCAGATAGTAGTGGATGCCTGCAGTAGACCGGGCACAGTCAGATGGTGGACACCTGCAGTGGACTGGGCCCAGTTAGGAGGTGGACACCCACAGTAGACTGGGCCTGATCAGGAAGTAGGTACCCGCAGCGGACTGGGCCCAGTCAGATGGTGGACACCCGCAGCAGACTGGGCCTGGTTAGGAGGTGGACGCCCACAGTGGACTGGGCCTGATCAGGAGGTAGATGCCCGCAGTGGACTGGGCCCAGTCAGATGGTGGACGCCCGCAGTGGACTAGGCCCAGTTAGAAGGTGGATGCCCATAGTGAACTAGGCCCAGTTAGGAGGTGGACGCCTGCAGTGGACTAGGCCCAGTTAGAAGGTGGATGCCCACAGTGAACTAGGCCCAGTTAGGAGGTGGAGGCCCACAGTGGACTAGGCCCAATTAGGAGGTGGATGCCTGCAGTGGACTAGGCCCAGTTAGGAGGTGGATGCCCACAGTGAACTAGCCCCAGTTAGGAGGTGGATGCCCACAGTGGACTAGGCCCAATTAGGAGGTGGACGCCTGCAGTGGACTTGGCCCAGTTAGGAGGTGGATGCCTGCAGTGGACTAGGCCCAGTTAGGAGGTGGACGCCTGCAGTGGACTAGGCCCAGTTAGGAGGTGGACGCCTGCAGTGGACTAGGCCCAGGTAGGAGGTGGACGCCTGCAGTGGACTAGGCCCAGGTAGGAGATGGATGACCACAGTGGACTAGGCCCAGTTAGGAGGTGGACGCTTGCAGTGGACTGGTTCTGTCAGGAGTTGGACGCCTGCAGTGGACTCGGCCCAGCCAGGTTCATTCGATTTCACACAGCTGTGTGAGAAACGCCAGAGTTGTACGCGCACTGCGATGCCACTAGGGTCGCTGAGCTGAGCATCGCCCAGCAGACAGTGATGTCTCAGCTTCTCCAGAGTTCCCAGCAGCCTTTGCTTGTTGTGCCCACAAAGAGGAAGGTATTTGAGCCGGATTTTTAGAGTTGTTGTAAAAACGTAGATAACACACCACCGTTTGCCGTTTGACTTGTGCACAGTTTAGTGATACCTGTTCTAGTTACCATGTTCCCCCATTACAGAGTGAGAGCTTCCTAACACAGTCCTCTCTCCTCCTCCCCCACCCGGAAACACTCGCCTGTCACTCGAGGTACCATGTCTAAGTAGGGATATGCAGGGTCTCAATTCCCTAGAGCTGCTGCCGCAGAAACACCACACAGCTGGAGTGGTGGAACACTGGTTCCAACAAGTTCTCTAAATCGTAGGACAAGGACTCAGACCCTGAGGTGTAGTCTGAATGCATTCCCCAAATCAGTTCTCCTGCGGAAAGCTGGATCCTTCGGATCCCTTAGGAATTGATAGTGCGAGGACAGATGCCCTTTATGTGCTTGAAACGTGGCGATGCATGTCTGCAAGTGGATCCAGGCTGCCTCTTGGCTCCTTTGTCTCTGCTCAGGAGCTCAGTTTGGGCCCTGGCATCAGCCACCGTTTCCCCTGGCCTGTCAGTGTTTATGTATTTTTGAGTCTTTCTTTCCATGCAAGGTGTTTTTTTTACCCCTTTAGAAAAGAGATTGAATCATAACATGAAACTTTATAAATTTCAAATGTCACTTGTTTGAACATGAGTGATGGAACTCCTGTCATTTAAATAGAAGATGGTCTAGCTTCTATTTGTAAATAAAATCAGCTGTACAATGAAATCGATGCCGGCTTTTCATTTTTCTCTCGAGATTTGCTCTCTGATGAAATGCTTTATTGGCAGACCTGACAAGTGTGAGGCAGAACGCTTCTTTGGTGCCTGTGTTTACAAAGCATGGCAGCCCAGAGGTGCTCATCCATCTTCCTCTCCTTCGGCTACCATGGATTCCAGTGGCTTCTCAAGTGGGACGTCAGTGGCTGCCAGCTGGGGAGTTTGGGGGGCAGCAGCACTCCAGTCCTCTCCTGCTATGCATAAGGATTTCCTTGGCCAATCCTGGGAAACAGATTGCCACACCTGTCTTCCCAGTCTGTGTTCGTCTGGAAGCTCCGCTGACACCTGTGGGTGACCCTTGGTAGCTTGGCTTCTAGAATTATGGTAGGATGAACTGACAGTTTACAAACAGAAGCCAGACGATCTTGGGTCAGCCCTAGAAGACACGAAGAAGTCTGCCTCTGACACGGGAGGATGGCGTGTCTCTGACCTGGGAGGATGACAGGATGGCGTGTCCCTGATCCGGGAGGATGACAGGATGGCGTGTCCCTGATCCGGGAGGATGACAGGATGGTGTGTCTGTGACCTGGGAGGATGGTGTGTCTCTGACCCAGGAGGACGATAGTATGGTATGTCCCTGATCCGGGAGGATGGTGTGTCTCTGACCCGAGAGGATGACAGGATGGTGTGTCCCTGACCCAGGAGGATGACAGGATGGCATGTCCCTGATCCGGGAGGATGGTGTGTCTCTGACCTGAGAGGATGACAGGATGGCGTGTCCCTGACCCAGGAGGATGACAGGATGGCATGTCCCTGATCCGGGAGGATGGCGTGTCCTTGACCCAGGAGGATGGTGTGTCTCTGACCTGGGAGGATGACAAGATGGCGTGGCACTTACTTTGGCCATTTTGTCTCGAAAGACTGTGGCTCCAGTTCTCATCGTGTCCAGTGACGCAGGGTCAGCGACAGCGAGGGAGACCCTGTGTGAGGTGGGTGGGCACAGCAGCTCAACCGTGCACTCAGACAGCGCTGGACCAGGCCTTCTCTTGTCCTGCTACACTGCTGACTTCCCCGGGGAGGCTTCTTCAGCGTCCAGAAATACTACTGCCTCGTTAAGTTGAGAGCCATCTGAGGCTGTTAACGATTGAAAGTCAAGGGAAATGTGGACCCAGGAGGGAAACCCCTTAGGGACCTTCGAAGCTTTAGTCCCTGACTGCTGCCGCCTCCCAGCTCGATACCTGCTCCAGTGCCTAGACTCACCCATTTCATTGTCATGAGACCACCCCCTCCAGGTTTTGTTAAAGGCAGACTCTCAGCTGGGGCACCCCCAGTTGTTCTGGCATCTTACCAGATTCTGTTTTGTCTCACGAGATGTCAAAGTGCTTCTTGTGAGCCGTCAGAGTAATCAAGCCGGGGAACCTGAGCCTCGCCGTGGCTCTCCCCTGGGGGCTTGTTCCTGAGGGTCTTCCTGCTTGGTGGACAATCCTAATGCTGGTGGGGAAGATGCCATAGTATCATGACCCCCCAGTCAGATGGCACAAATGCTGATTCCAGCCCTAAAGCCGGTGGTCTGTTCTCCGCTCCAACCTTCCTTAGCTGAAATACGCTCAAGTGAGTTCACCTTGCAGCCGAAGACAGAACCACGATCCGTTCCCATTCCTCATCTTCCCACGTCCTGGGTGGGGACCCCGCCACACTCTGGCTCACCAGGTGGCCTCCGTCTGAGACTCTACATCCCACTAGCTGTCAGTAAAATATGGCTCTTCCAGAGTATTCGGTTCAGCGGGGTCACTGAATGGTGAACTTCTCCAGTTGGACCCCAGGGTGCTGAACCCCTCCGGCTTGCAGGTGCTGTCCCAGCGGGCAGAAGCTGTTGCTTAATCCGTAGCACCACCACAACCCCTTTTATGTGGTGACCGCTAGCTGCTGGACGTGCCTCGCCACACTCCTGAGAAATGAGAGTAATGAACCTTACAGGTGACTCAGGTGAACTGGGGGGATGACCAGACCCCGTAATGGCAGAGAACGTACACTTTCCTGTCTGGCAGGTTGCTCCGGGAGGATCTAGCTGGAGCCCCAGGTGCTAGCTACATGTTTCCCCACTCTGCCCTCTCAGAAGCCCTGTTTCCTATGGGTTACAGCCACTGATGTTTACTCCCTCAGCCGTTTCAAACTCAGAAATGAAAGCATATGTAGGAATCTATTTAGAAACAACAATGATAAACTCATTATGTGCTATCACCAGTAACATCTCTTTAGGATATATTGGTATTTTCCCCAGACAAAAATATTTACTATAAAGAAAAGCATTTTACCAGTCTCCTCTGAATCCTTTCCATTTCTGTCAGTCTCTTCAGTGAGCTTCTCACAAGAAGACAGCTGGATTTTCCTGCTTCTGCATTTTGTCTGAGGCAATATGTTGTTTTGGTCGAAGTGTGTGCAGAAAACCCAGGTTCACCCAGAGAAGTAGTTGGAAAAGGAAGGAGAACTGCTCTAGCCCTCTCAACTCATTGTGTGTTTGTTTCCTGACGATTACACTGCTCCCAACAAAGGACAGTTTCTTCAGTACAACACCGCTCCCAACAAAGGACAGTTTCTTCAGTACTACACTGTTCCCAACACAGGACAGTTTCTTCAGTACAACACTGTTCCCAACACAGGACAGTTTCTTCAGTACAACACTGCTCCCAACACAGGACAGTTTCTTCAGTACAACACTGTTCCCAACACAGGACAGTTTCTTCAGTACAACACTGTTCCCAACACAGGACAGTTCTTCAGTACTACACCGTTCCCAACACAGGACAGTTTCTTCAATACTACACT